TGTATTACACTTGTATCGTGAAAGCAACTGAACTGGGACCTCTTGTTACGTGTTTTGGGTGCTTGTTCTAGATGTAATATTTATTTATTTTTTATTTTAATGAGACAGTTACGTGAAAAAAGCCTAGGTAACTCCTTTTGACAGAGAAGAGACAAATTTGACATTCGTAAATCCGTTGGTTATGACGGTATTCACCTAAAACTTGTGAAAGTGGCTGCTGAATATATTGCCGAACCAATCGCCTATATTATAAATTGTTCCTTGTCGAAAGGTGTATTCCCTGACAAACTGAAAAAAGCACGGGTGACTCCCATTTTCAAGAAAAGGTGTGCTTATGAAGTTGGAAACTACAGGCCGATCTCCGTTTTACCTGTCTTCAGCAAACTGTTCGAATCATTCGCCAATAAACAGTTGTGTGCCTTTATGGACAAATTTAAAATTCTTTCAGAAAATCAGTACGGGTTCCGAAGGCAATATAGCACTAAACTCGCCTTAGCTGATCTCACAGCTGAAATCTCAAAAAGAATTGATGAAGATTTTGTCACACTTGGTGCTTTTATAGACTTGAGAAAAGCTTTCGATACCATTGATCACAGTAATTTGCTAGCTAAGCTACAACAATATGGGATTAGATGGTCAACTTTGAACTGGTTTAAAACTTTTTTGGACGGTCGGCAACAATATGTCAGTACTAAAAACAATGATTCTGACTGTGAAACTATTTCCACAGGGGTACCACAAGGGTCAATCGTAGGCCCTCTTCTTTTTTTTAGTTTATATTAATGACAATTCTAGATCATCCCCCCTTTTTTCATTCAGACTATTTGCTGATGACACCAGTCTATTATTTATTTATGATGCGCATGACCATGAAGGCTTGAGCAGCTCTTGAGTGCACCTCCGTGTTTGGCTAACCATTTACCTGTACCAACAGTGATATCAGTAAGCGAATGCGTATTTCAATAGACACTGAATAACACCAGAAGATACCCGAAGCTGTCTTTTAGCAAGAATTATGCCAGGCAGAAGGAAAAATTTGCGAAATTTGAGTGGTGCACGTTCGTTGACGCCATTCATTACCAGTCCTGTAAATGTGCCACGTGGGTCATCCCCACCTGCTGCCGGTGAAGACAAAGCCAGCGTGAGTACTACTGCTTCTAGCAACGATACTGAGGTCGGAAATAATGAAGATTTTCAAACATTTGTGAGAAATGCGTTTGAACGTTTAGAAAAAAAATAGAAGAAGGCGTACATAAGCAGATTAGTGTTACAAGCAGGGTGGATACGATTGAAAAACAGCAGTCCGAAGTTGAAAAGTCTGTGGAATTTCTGCACGACAGTGTTGTACAGTTAAACAAGGATAAAATAGCATTGGAGGAGAAAGTTAGAAGGGATGGAAGAAGAAATTTGTCACCTTAAAACCGAAAATAAAGAGATTAGAGAAGATGGTATACGGCAACAAAGATATTCAAGGAGTTATAATTTACGTTTCGGAGGGGTGAAAGAAGCTGAAACGAAAACTG